GGGACAGCTGGGGACACCCAACGGCACCAGATTTTGTGGGAGGGAGGCAGGAGGAAGCCGCCACACGTGCCGATCGGGGTTTTCTTCACCTACTAGGTGCAGACTGGACTGGACTTGCACATGGACTGAATCTGAGTCGTGTCAGTGGCTGACACATTGCAGAAAGTCAGGAATGCGTGTCTGTCAGGACTGAGCCTCCTGCGGGTTTTGAACCTGGGCCAAAGGAGGAGCTGTGAGGAGACAGCCAGGACAGCTCTGGGCTGCAGACTTGCTGGCTGCAGGCATCTTTCACTCACCTCCCTTCCCCTTTACCTGGACTTTGTCCTCCCTGCAGCTGTGCGAGAACTGGTCTGGCAGGGCAGGCGGTGCACCTGGGTAGTCTGCAGATCCTCCGCTAGCTTGTCGCCCTTCCGCCCGTCTCTGCTTTAGACTGGGACAGGCTATTGGGCTCCTTATATATATCGATACATTTCCGTGTTTCCAAAATGCCCTTCAGGACCCAAGCCCCTGCAAGACGGCGAATGAACAGTCATTTGAGAAAATGCTCTAGCAAGACAAAATAAAAGGGCCGATCTCTCGATACATCAACACCTCAAGTGAATAGTACCAAAATTCAGGATGGCAATGAATAAAATGCAGATTGAAATTGAAAAAGTTCTACAATGCTTGCTTGTTTTTAAACCGAACAATGCCGCACCTCAGGGCAAGGAGGACTGGAAAAAACTGAGATGCACACAGAAAGTTTGCCTTGTGGTTACAATTGCTTGCAAAGAATCATGAACTGTAAAAGAAAAGTTATGGGCACGAAGATTGCAGAAGTGTGAGCAGCAGAAGGGGTTAAATTTTCTGCCCACAGTTGCTGCGACCCTGGTCATTGCTCCCACCCAACTGATGGGATGTCCACTAAGAGAAAGGAAAGGAAAACCTGCAGGTTAAGTGCAAAAGTGCTTTTCACCTCACCTCTAGTTTCAGCCAAAGCAATTCGGCGATTGGTGACCTTCGAAATTGGCTTGTCGTTCTCCCAGTGTTTAAATTCTGTCAACAAGTGAGCAATTGAAGAGTGGAGCAAAGAAAGCTTCCAGATGGTCCTGTTCGTTTGTTTAATGTCTTTCTCTATTCTATATTGTTTGATCAGCATAATACGCTTGAAGGTCTTCTCTGCACAAGACTTTCATTGCGTCTTGATGAAGGCTGTTTCAGGAGAGCTTGCAGGAGCTTTCCGTGGTGTTGTCGTTCTCCAGGATCTCTCCTGTGCTGACCATGCATCCCCGTGGCTCTTTGTAGTTAAAAGCCTCAGGTAGACTGTAACAGAACATGCTACAGGCCTGGCTGGTTGGGGCATGCTGGGAGTTGTAGGCCTTTTCCTGTCACACACACAGCTTGGCATTCATAACCTGACTGTTTCCAAGGCATAAATAACTTGGCCTTTCCCCATAAGCTCAATTTGGTAAGAAACATACGTCTCTGTCCAACCATGTGCAGTCCGAATGTTTACCCTCGCTTATGATGTAGCCAGATCGTAAAGGATGTAAATGTATAATCTGGCATGAATTATGTTTAGTCTATTGCCATGTAGCTGCTTTGTCTAATGTACATCCCAGTTTAGGGGTGCACAACACCAGATGTGATGCACTCGGAAAGATTTCTGCATGTTTAGCTCAATGAAACAAATACACACCGGGGATAAACTTCACTAAGATGCCAATTGTTTCCAGTTCCCCACCAGAGAGAGGTTCAGAGGTTCGGCCAGATGGAGGATAGGCTGGGGCTAGGCTCCACTGGAAGCATTTTGCAGAGCTGGGAAAGGTGCGGGAAAGTGCAGCCAGAACAATCAAGGGGCTGGAACAACACCCCGGTGAGAAATATTTGCAGCATTTGGGGTTTAGAAAAAAGGCAAGCAAGGAAGAAGCATAATAGAGGTGTACAAAATAGTTGCCATTTTTATATAGAGTATATTCCTGTAAACTTCCTGCCTATATTTTAAAAAAATCTTTTCTAAATCCCACTTGAAAAATGGAGCTTTAACAGCTGTCTGAGACGATTACCCCTATGCATAAGTGGGGGCTCACACCAGCACGTTCCCAAGGGGGCTGCTTCTCAGGAACAGTTGCAAAAGGCTTCCTTAGGACTCCAGAGACAATCAAACTGTTTGGCAGCCCCAGGCAGCTCCTTCAAGGAGCCGGTGGGTGCTCCCAACGGACTACCGATAGCTGTCCAAACAGGGTTTGCAGAAGGTAGCTCAGAAGGCAGAAGCGGGCCAACCATGGTTCGCGTCATCCTCTCGCAGGTCCACCCTTGGCTGCTTGCCTGCCCGAGCACCGGGGTGGGTTAGCGTGATGCGCGGCCGCCCCGACTGCCAGCCTGAGAGGCATCATGCTGCCGGATCCCAGCTATGGAGGCACATGGGTGGAGGTGGTGTGTTTGCACTCCTGCCCCGAGGAAAGGGTCCTGAATTTCTTTCCGATCAGCAGCAACTGGCTCTGAGGGTCTTTCAGGCCCATCTCATGCTATGCCGCGGTACTGATTTAATTAGCCGCACATGGAAGAGTATTTCCATTGGTGTTTTCTGCTGAGACTGGTCTGTTTATGTTTGTGACATCTAGCTTAAGCAACCCAATGCATACCATCACAGTTCCTACAGATACAGAATTTGACATGATTGGCATAAGCTCCTGGCATAGTCTGGATATTTTCAGTGCTCATGGACAGCCGGTTTTATGTCACTTCTCCAGGACTGGGGTGGGATCCCTGGTGGGGGGGATGAGGCAGCAACCCTGTGCAGTACGGCCCACAGAACTCCGTAGGAGTTGCTTGTGAGTCAAAGAGGGATGCTGGAATGGTCCTGTTTAGCCTGGAATGAAAGCTGGAGGGAGCCAGGAGTGCCCCAACAGGGCCGACCGCGGAGCAGAATGCATAGTCCTACAATAATGCATAATGCCAGATGAGAGGTCCAGAAACTGCTTCTCTCGCAAGTTGTGTGCAGTGTGGAGAGCCTCAGATTATGAGGTATGGCAGGCTTCCTTGCTGTGGCCTTGTGCATACTAATTCATTGTGCCCCGCGACTGTATTTAGTCTGGAAGCGCTACGAAAACCTGCTTAACCAGAGATAAAAGCTGGGTAGAGAAAGACCTGTCATGCTGGGCCTTATCAAAGCACCTTTCCCTCCTGGGGAGAAAACAGTGCAGCCGTTCTCCAGCCTCAGTGGCTCGGCGCTAGGAATGGCATGGTGCATGTGGGTTTTCATTCTTTTCAAAACTCTCTGGTAAGATCCGCAGTTTTTCTGGCTTATGCCAATCAGCCCTGTCCACCTCTTGTTTTGGTGAGCAGGTGGAGCTTTTATCCGTTTAATTCTGGAAACTGCCTTATCCCAAAGAACTGGGAAAAAACCCCAATTGGTTAAATGCAAATTTGATGTTCATGACTGAGATTAAGGGTTCACCCCATAAAGGAGCCCTATGGCTCAACCCACTGCCCTGTTTCAGTTGTCTCTGCATCTTAGCCATAGCCACACCCCATTCAGCACTTTTTATCTAGAGAAATTTTTGGCCTAATGTGGATCAGAACCTAGATCTTCTGAGTCCCAGTCCAACACTCTAACCACTAGGCAATGCTGCATCTTACTCATTATTATAGGGCCGGGGTATTGAGGGGGATGGTTTTGGACTGGGGATTCAGACCAGGGTTCAAATCCCCAAATGACTTTGACTTTCACTGAGTGACTTTAGGCCAATTACTCTGCCTCACCCACCTCGCAGGGTTGTTGTAAGGAGAACAAGGGGAAAATGAACAGGCAACCTGCCTTGGGTTCCTCAATTGTGGGTGTGGAGGAATGTAAATACAATGTAATAATGCATCCAGGCCAAGCTTCCATCTGACCTTTAAAGGCGCTCTCCATAGTGCTGAACATATTTGGAGGTCCCTTAAAAGTTCAGCCTAAAACCTGATGTGGATACCCTGCCCCCATGACACTGGAGTCACTGGCCTCCAATAAATTAGGTGGAGGTGAGCTTGTTAAGGGAAAGCCCTTAATTAACTCCAAGGTGGGGTCACCCAAGTTACACTATAGTTTGGGAAATCCTTGCAACTTGCACCAGCACGATCGGATTTCACAGACCAACAAAATCCCCCAAAGTGAGGGGCAAGGGCTCGGGTTCCCCAGAATGCTGCTTCGGGGGGATGCTAAGCAAGGGGCAGGAGGAAAAACTGCACCGGAGCCACGCGACTCGCCCGGCGCCTCGCAGCGACGGTGCGGGGGGGCAGCGCTCCGAAGACCTGGGCCGGGACAGAGAAGAGCCGGTGACCCTGGGTCGGAGCGCGGCAGGGCCTGCCCTGGCCGCGGGAGCGGCGGTCGCCCTGCCTGGGGCACGGCCGCGGGCGGAGCAGGGAGGCGAGACCGGCCGCGGGCGGAGCGGCTCCGCAGGGGAGGGAGCGGCTCCGGCCCGGCAGGAGGCGCCCCTCGCGCGCCTCCCCGGCGACAGCGGAGAGAAGCGGGCGGCCGCCTCGCCCCGCCCTCGCGCGCGCCGGCGGGAGTTCCGGGCCAGTAGGCAAGGCCCCGCCCTCTACCGGCGCGAGGGGGCGGGGCGCCACCTGGCGAGGCGTGCGATTGGCGGCGCGGCGTGAGTCGGGCGCGGGCTTCCATTGGCCGCCCGCGGCGTCGTCCCCCCTCCGGGCTGCGGTGGCGTCGTTCTAGCGCATGAGCGCTCCCGCGATTTTCCTCGCTGGGACGCGCGGTTGGCGGGCGGGGGGAGGCGTGGTCTTCCCGGGCGCTCCCATTGGCCGGCGCGGGCGGGCAAGGCGAGGGCTGGGCGGTACCATGTTGGATGCGTGTGCGGGGAGCTCCGGAAGGGGGTGTTGGCGGCGGCCGCGGCCACAGCGCCGGCCGGGCGGCCCAGGAGCGAGC